GTAAAGATTTTTTTTTTTTCTTTTGAACAGCATAATGATGTAAAGATATTAATGGAATAACATTTTATAATAAATAATAATAAATAATTTTTATTCAATTAATTTTTATTTTTACCCATATTTCATATTATCTTTATAATTTTTGCCATCTTTCTCTTTGTTATTAAAAGTAATTAATCGAACAACACAAATGCAAGAAAATGATCAAAATAGTATGAAATAAGCGAGGATAAAAATAATAAAAATAAAACATAAGGGACTAAATTAATTTTCTTAAAAGTTTAGGGGGACCTCTGCCTACTCATGCCACCCTCAGACTCCGCTACTGGTGACGATTGATAAGTATCACATCGTGGATATTCTTTAATTTTACCCCCAAAGGGGTTGTTGTAGCTAAAGATGTTTAAATAAAAAAGATTAAATGTCATTTTTAGTTACTACATTTTTAATTTTAAATATTTTTAGTTTTTTAATTAGTTTTTAATTATTTTGACACTTTTTTTATCCCAAATTATAAAAGATATATTTTTTTTATTTCTTATATCAATTAATTCATTAAATCTGTCCATATAGATACATTTTTCACTACTAGATGCATGGCATCACCGACAAAAAATTATGTTGGAAACCAAACAAAATCTCATCAGTGAAATAATTTTCAATTTTAACCATGTCAGTAATATACTTGTTGATGTACGTCTCTTCGATAAACCATTTACTGATGGGAATTAAAGTACATTTGCAAACCGATCCACATTATTGATGAAAGGTATGTCTTTAACTTGCTGTCGGAACTGTACTGTTGGAGCTCATTTTAGGTTAGTTACATCGGTAAATTGGTATGAATTACCGATGAAAAGCATGTCTCTAATTTATAGTTGGTTTACTACATGCAGGTTAATCACCGGTAAGTCACGTCGGTAATTTACCGACAAGAAGGTTGTCTGAAAATGGTCACTGACAAAGCTAACATTGACACTAGATATATTTTTATAATATTCCTCATTCTTTTCCTGACAAAGCTCTAATTGGAAACCTGATTTAGGAATTTGCCAAAAAAAAAAAAAAAACCTTTAATCCAGTTACCAACAAGAATAACATTGGTATTAGACCTGGCAAAATTGGATCCAATCCAAAAATTCGACCCAATCCATCCATTATGGGTAGGGTTATGGGTCCTATGTGTTAATCCGAAATCCAAAATGACCCAGACTGAAATTATTTGAACTCAAATGGATTGGGTTACGATTACGAGTGGGTCAGGTCACCGAAATGACCTAAACTTTTTTTTATTCATTTTTTATTAGATTACTTAAAAATTAATTTTTAATTTTTAATTTATTAATCTTAAAAGTAAAAATAAATTAAATACTCAAATCCTAATCTCTCATCAATTTCACTCTCTCAACTTTTCCTCTTCTCCACTCTCGCTCTCCCTTTCTTCATCTCAAGCTCTCTAATCCTTTTCTTTGGTGGCACTCGCATAAAAAATTAGATTAGGTGGCACATATTGAGTTATGTTATATAACATCGTAAAAAAGATCATTTTTTTAAAATAAAAAACAAGAATGCCTATTGAAAATCAAAACCCAATGGTTAAGGTACCTTCAAAACCATTAGAAGTATAAAGACAAGAACATCAAAAAACATCAAAGTCCGTTCTTAATTACTAATTTATTCTTAATTAATAATTTGTTCCTAATTATAATAAAAATCAATTTTGATCCAAATTTTTCTTGTATTTGGTTAGACATATTTTGGATTTACCTTTTAAACTTTAATATTAAATAAGGCTATATTTTTTTTGTATAATGCCCTCCTAAACATTGAATAGAGCTATATTTTTTGTATAATACTCTTATAAATATTGAATAAGCACTAGATATTAATATATATATATATATTGGATTTGTCTTTTGAACTCTAATCCTTCATGTCTCTTCTTTTAATGAAGATTAATACCTTTATGAAATTATGAATTCTAAATTCTAAATATTGTATAAGTATTATATATTTAACATATATTTTAGTTCCACCTATATAATCACTAATCTTTTCATTTTCTTTTCTTGAGATTGGAAAAAAATTGAATTATGAGGTGGAAATTAATGTTTAATAAGTTTTCTAACTAAATAATTAATTAATAAAAAAGTTTTTTAACTAAATAGTTAATTAGCATTAGATTTTGTTAAAGAAAAATAGAGAAAAATATAGAAAAAATTTAATTTTAATATTTTAAAAGTTGGGTCTACCCAACCCAATCTGAGACTTGTGTGGGTGGATCATGGGTCAACTTCTTTAATCTGACACCCGAAATAACCCAATCCGAACAACCCGAGATCCGAGATAACCTAATTCGAGCCTACCCAATCCGACCTGTTTGCTAGGTCTAATTGGTATGGAAGTCTTCTGCAAAAAAAACAAAAGTTTGATTAATAAATATTGAAATTAATATATATTTTTATTTAATTTAATCTATTTACTATTAAATATTACTTAATTTATAACTATTAACATTGGAAAAAATAAATATAATATTAAAATTTTATAATAAAAACAGAAAATTATTGAATTTATTTGCTACAACTAATAACTAAGACATAGTTCAAAAATAAGAATAATAAGACAAATTTAAAATATAATTGAATAGTGTGATAAAAAAAAATAAAAATGACCTCAATTATAGAATTTATATTTATAGAGCACCATTACTAAAAAAAGATAAAATATAAATTAATTTAATATTTATATATAATTTCAATGAAATAATAATAATCAAAATATAATTAAAATTAAATTATATTTTACATAAATAAAATATATTTACCCAATGATTATCTCCCAACAATGTTTCCTACAAAACAACAATATTAAAAAAATTAGAAGTGCAAATAAATTAATCAATAACTCAAATTCATGTTTAATCAATTATGGAGAAAGAATGGAAGAGGAAAAAAAAAAGAGAATGAGAAGATATAGACCAAAATTAACATAAATATAATGTAATTATAAGAAGAAGAAGAAGAAGAAGAAGAAAATGAGCAGGCTATGTTGGTGTGGAATTTGTCGGTATTGTTTTTACCGAGGTAATACATGCGGGCTAGAAGAAACAAAATGAGCAGGCTAGAAGCAAAATGAGCGGGCTAGAAGCAAAATGAGCGAGCTATGTTGGTGTGGGAATATATAGAACCTTTTACCTACGTGGAATTTGTCGGTATTGTTTTTACCGAGGTAATACGAGCAGGCTAGAAGAAACAAAATGAGCATGCTAAAAGAAACAAAAATGAGCGGGCTATGTTGGTGTGTGAATATATACAGCCTTTTACCTATGTGGAATTTGTCGGTATTGTTTTTATCAAGGCAATACACATAGGTAAGATAAAAGCTTCTGCGGGAGCAAGAAAAGCAAAAATTTTGTGATCCCACCTTTTTTTTTCACCAACAAGATTCTTTTGGAAAGTTAAAAACCAAATATTTTGTAGTTCCCGCCATCATTTACCGACAAATGCATGCTAGCAAGTTTTTTTTTTTTTTAACAGTACTTGAATATGCATGCTGGCAAGTAAACTTGGCAAACAAGTTGAATTGAGTGGGTTCGAATTTGGTCATTTTGGATCTCGGATTGTTTGGATTGAGTCATTTCGGGTGTCAAATTAAAGAGGTTAACCCATGACCCATTCACATGGATTTCAGACTGGATCGGGTGGACCCAACTTTTAAAAAATTAAAATTAAAATTAAAATTTTTCTATAATTTTCTCTATTCTTCTTTAATAAAATCTAATACTAATTAACTATTTAATTAGAAAACTTTATTAAACGTTAATTTCCATTTCATAATTCCATTTTTTTCCTATCTCAAGAAAAGAGAAGGAAAAGATTAGTGATTATATAGGTGGAACTAAAATGTATGTCAAATATATAATATTTATATAAATTTCATAAAGATATTAACATTTATTAAAAGAAAAGACATGAAGGATTAGAGTTCAAAAGACAAATCTAATATATATATAAATATCTAGTACATATTCAATATATATAAGAGTATTATACAAAAAATAAAGATATTAACATTTATTAAAAGAAAAGACATGAAGGATTAGAGTTCAAAAGACAAATCTAATATATATAAAAATATCTAGTACATATTCAATATATATAAGAATATTATACAAAAAATACAGTTCTATTCAATATTTAAGAGGGTATTATACAAAAAAATATAGTCTTATTCAATATTAAAGTTTAAAAGGCAAATCTAAAATATGTCTAACCAAATACAAGAAAAAATTGGATCGGAATTGGTTTTTATTAATTAGGAACAAATTATTAATTAAGAACAAATTATTAATTAAGAACAAATTAGCAACTAAGAATAGACCTTAGTTTGAAGGGACTTCCGACGAAAGCAGGGATCCTAAAAAGAGGTATCCAGCTTCAAAAGGAGGAGACTTTTTGCTGCATTTGTAGAAAGGAATTGGAGGATGACAACCACTTGTTTGCCACATGCCCAAAGATCCAAAGTCTGTGGATGAGATGCTACAACTGGTGGGGGATATCCCTAACCCTTCCTAACACAATTTCTCTTTTATGTGAA